AGAGCCCTGAGCCCAGCTCCCCGGAGCAGCCGCCACCCCACGTACGGGTCGAAGACGAGGCGGGTGATGTACTCCTTGGGCATGCGGGGCAGCTGGTGGGAGAAGACGTTCTGCAGCCCCACCAGCCACATCAGGATCCGCTTGTTGGATTTCTGCGAGAGCGCGTTGCCGATGACGTGGAACTCGATGATGCCGCGTCTCTCCTCCAGCCGCGCCGTCTCGTCCCGCGCCGCGTTGGCCGACAGCAGGCTGGTCTGGGGGCGGAGCGGGGCGTGTAAGGGACAAAGCCCTGCCCACTTACCCCCACCCCCCCCCGGCCCACTGACGCCCAGCCAGGAGCCAGCCTAGGGGAATATTTAGAGGCCAAGCTGCCCAGGGCAAGCCCGGACCCTCCCGCCCAGCACGGCGCTGGATTGCTCCTTGGCAGCTGCCAGTGCCGCCCCCTCCCCCACAACAGTCATGCCAGGCCCCCGCACGGGGTCAGAGCAGGCACCAGCCGAGGTCTGGCACAGCCGCTCCTACGGCCCCCAGCAACCCTGGCCCAGCTCTGCAGGGCCCATGCCCATCCCCGCCGCTCCCTGTCCCGTACCTCCGGGCCCAGCATGGCGGCCGGGTCCGTGATGGTCAGCATCACCTCGTTGACCAGTTCCATGGGGATGTCGCCCATGACCCGGATCCGCTTGGCATCCTCCAGCGTCAGGCTCTCGGGCAGCTTCCGCTTCTCGCCTGCTCGGGCAGCAGAGGATGGTCACGCTGGCAGGGCCACAGGCCACTCGCTTCCCTGCATCTCCCGCCCCATGGAGCTCAGGACGCCGCCTCCCGCCGAGCCACAGGGCAAGGGAGTCGGCAGCCGCCGCACCCGAACCCTGCCGCAGCAGCCAGTGCGCGGCAGGGCTGGGGCCCACGGGAACCGGTGCTGCTGGGGCGTGAGCACGGCTGGGAGGCCTTGCTGTCACCCCGCAGGGGCCAGGCCGACCGGGTGCTCCATGGCTTCCTGCGTGGCGCTGCCGGCCAGGGAAGCGGACACGGCATCCCCGTCCCGTCCCAGGCAGTCTAGGCTCAGGGGGCGGGTGACAGACGAGGATCTAAAGGTTGTTCTTTCATTTCCCTTGTGGCTGACAGGTGCCAGGGTTACAGGGAACAGCGGGCGCAGGCTGATCCCAAGCTGGCTCACGACGATCCACTCAGGCATCCACCGTCCACATGTATCGCGAGGGCAGAACCTGTCTGCTCCCGGCAGCGCTCCCCTCCCGCCCCCCGAGCTCCCTCCCCCAGCCCACACTTGAGACCCGAGCAACCCCATGGACTCTCAAGGGTTAACCGCGGATCACCCTGGGCTGGCAGTGCTTTGCCCCTTTGGCTCCAGGGGAGGTGGTGCTGGCCGGAGGCTGACCCCTCCCAGGGCGCTGACCCCTCGGGCACTAGCCCCCGGCCAGTCCCAGAGGCGTTGGGGCCATAAAGGTTTGTGCCGCCCAGCAGGGCCCCAGGGCCGTCTCAGCCCCTCCGCGCACCCACAGCTGGGGCTGGCATTACCTGGCACGGGCTCGGCCGTGCTAGCGTCCAGGCTCATGGAGGACAAAGAGCTGCTGCCGAGTTTCTTGCTGAACATCGGGGTGCTGGGCACGGCCACGGTGCTGACGGCTGCTGGGAACGAGAACGGAACCTTTCACTAGCTGAACCCGCTCGCCCACAGCCTCCCGCCCCAGGGTCGGTGCCCACGTGGCCCTGGACAGGACGCGTTTGCACTGGCCCTCTGCAGCCCAGACCACCGGGCCGTGCCAAGCCAAGCCCCCGCTTGCAACGGAGCTCAATTGCTCCCGGGGCGCTCGAGCATTTTCCCAGCCAAGTACCTGGGCGTGGGACCAGCTGGGTGCCTTCCGTGGCCGGCATGGTGAAATCAGATTCCCAGATGGGCGAGTTCTCCCCGTAGATCTCCTCTTCCAGCATCGACAGAAACCTGGGCAGGACGGGCGACAGGGCAGGTTAGCCAGCAGCAGGCAGGCTAGTGTCACGGCCGCATTAGAGCTGCCAACCATGAGCAGCATTGGGGGGGGGGCCCCCACACGTGGCAACCCAGATTAACAGGCAGGTACCCCATGGGGAGGAGTCTCACCCAGTGAGCAGGGCCCGGGGACCTGGCATGCAGAGACCAGACATGACCCACCCATCACAGCCACCTCTGGGTTCGCCAGGGCCAGCGAGAATGCAGCTAACCCCTACCAGCCCCACGCCCCGGGAGCCAGCCCCACGCCCCGGGAGCCAGCCCCACCTACTTGGGGAAATGGGTGAGGATGAGTGTCCGCTTCTCCGGCACCAGCTTGTCCTTCTCCACCCGGAACTTCTCCAGCAGCTGCCGGCGGGTGACGGTGAAAATGGACTTGAGCAGGCTGCGCCCGAAGACGTGAGTGGTCTCGTAGCGGGGGAGGCTGTCGCAGCTCTGGGGCACGTGGCAGTAACACAGCCAGCTGGGAGAGAAAGGGGGCACACTCCCAGGGACTGGACGCTGGTACCAGCGCCCCCAAGGGGCTGGCGTTATGACTGGGGTCGCAGCCACGGGCTGGGGTGCAAAGCGCAGCAGCTGCATCTTGTCGGGAATGGAGGGGCAATGGGGGCAGAGAGGCAGCGGCTGGGGTAGTCGAGATAGGGGACCTTTCCCAGCGGAGTGCGGAGCACAGAGACGCCGTCTCTCCAAGCCGGCCGGGGCAAGGCACGCTGGCTTCACGGCACTGAACCATCACGAGTACCCACAAGCCCACCCGCCGGGCCGGCCCAGGTGCAAGCCGTGTGCCATACTGAGCCGCCGGGGAGCAGAGCCAGCTGTTGGTAGCACTCCGGGGACACGGCAGGTGCTGTGCTTACGAGCGGCCGGCTCAGGATCTCCAGGGCTCCTTGCCGGGAACACAGCAGGGAGTGCGGTGAGGGAGATCAGCACGTGGCAGCTCAGGAGAGGAGGGCGAGACCAGACCTCCCCACTGGGGATGTGAAGTGAGGGGAGCCGTGGTCAGAGCTCCCCCAGACTTGGGGGCAGGGCACAAGCTAAAGCCCCGTTAGCAAAGCATGCAACGAACGGTCGACGGGGTCTGCCCTGGCCCCTCTCCCCAGCGCTCACCGGGTGTAGTTGACTTTGTAGGTGGCCACGTCGTCGTTCTGCGAGCGCTGCCGGAACTGGGAGGGCGTCTCCAGCTTCCAGTAGTTGAGACAGAGCAGGAACATCTTGGAGAGCTCGTACATGGTCTGCCGCTCCTTGGGGGGCAGGTGGCTGAACTTGTACTGGACGAAGTTGAAGACTCCCTGTGGGGGCAGGGTGCCGGCGGAGCGTCAGGGGCTTTGTCACACAGCAGCCGACGCAGGGCTGGCTCTGCGCGTGAACACGGGGCGGGGGAGCTGCACGAGGCGAGGTTAACGCAGCTGAGGAGTTGCAGGAGGTGTGGGATGGAGCAGCCGAGACCCGCGTTCAGTTATGGATTGGGCGTAGCGGGACGAGTATTCCCAGGTGATTTATCAACACTACGAGATCATCACTGACCGGTTTGGTCAACCGGCGAGACCCAGGGCTGGGACCAAGGGGCGGCGGCAGAGCCCAGACCGGAATACTGGGAGCGCAGGAGGCTCTCCAAGGGCTGCGGCTCGGAGATGCACTGGCCCAAGCCTGGAGACGCGACACTGGACAAGACAGAGCCTGGTCTGACCCCGCCTGGCAACTCCTGACCTGTCCCTCAAACTTCACCAGAGCCCTCCCCGCCCCTGCCCTCCGACTTACGAAGATCTCCCACTTCAGGGTGAGGGCAGGAGACCAGTCACCTCCACGAGAAACAAACGCGCCCAGCACTGGCCCCCGGGGATGGATTTCCTCGGACCAGCGCTAACACGCGGCTTGGTTTGCTACCGAGGCACCCAGATGTACAGTGACGCGTCCGTGTCAGACCCTGGGTGGATAACAAGTCAGCCAGTTGCAGGGAACGTCTCCGAGTTATACAAGGATTATTCGGGCAGGGGGAAGAGACACCAGGAAGCTAAAAGCCACACGGTCAGGCTTGAAAGAGGGTCATTGGAAGACACCAGCACCTCTCCCCCCGCTGGGGGCGTCCAGGCAGACCCGTTAGCTCGGGGCCAGCTGCGTGTTACAGCAGAGGGCGTACCAGTCTTTGGGTCACCGTGACAATGGACAGCTGCTACAGAGCGCTGGCGTTACCTGCTCGATGTTCGGCTTCTCGAAGGGGGGGCTGCCAAGGGACCCCTCTACAACAGGACGGTTCATCTGCAGGATGCATTTCCTCAGCAGCTGGGGAGACAAGGGGGATGTGTCACTCCAGAGACTGGGGCGAGGCGAGGCTTATAGCAACCACCGAAAGCTGTGACCATTACAAGCTAGGCCAGGAGCAGCCGGCCAGATCCCCGGCTGGCTTAAACGATGCCACGCTGGTGCCTTTAATGGGCTGTGTTGATTTGCACCACCTGGGAATCCGCTCACTCCTTCCCTGGAAGTGTATCTCCCAGGGGATTCAGCTCGGGACGAGAGGGGCAGGGACAACATCTGGTTTCCAGCAAAGCTTCTGCTTTTAAGCCAGTCTTGCAGTTGGGCTGCCTGAGGCGGGTTGCCAGACATACAATAAATCACCAGCGCGCAGCCTTTCCAGACAATGGAACCCCTTTCAGGAGGGGTGTGTACCCCAAGTTACAGCTCACTGAATCCTTGAATCTCAGGGGTGGAAGGGACCTCAGGAGGTATCTAGTCCAACCCCCTGCTCAAAGCAGGACCAATTCCCAACTAAATCATCCCAGCCAGGGCTTTGTCAAGCCGGGCCTTAAAAACCTCTAAGGATGGAGATTCCACCACCTCCCTAGGGAACCCAGTCCAGTGCTTCACCACCCTCCTAGTGAAATAGTGTTTCCTAATATCCAACCTAAGCCTCCCCCACTGCAACTTGAGACCTCACTTAAAAACTACTCGCTTACAAAAATCAGACATAAAAACACAAAAGCATCACAGTACACTACTACAGCCCAATGGCTGATGTTCTCATTTTACCATACAATTATAAAATAAAGCAATTGGAATGTAAATATTGCGCTTACGTTTTAGTATATAATATCTAGAGCTGTATAAAGAGTCACTGTATGACGTGTTACTTTGTACCGATTTCGCTAGTTTTTTTTGCGTAGTGTTTTCGCTAGTGTTTTTTTGTAAAACACGGCAAATATCTAGGTAAATTGATGGACCCCCCGGGAAGATCTCTGCGTACCCCTGGGGTACGTAGCCCTGGCTGAGAACCACTGTAATAAGTCAGCAGCTCACTGGGCTTAGAGCCCTACATGAGCACGTTATTCCCAGGCCTAACGGAGACCACACACAGACTCTCCCCCGCGTCTCATGTAATCCATCCGCTGTCCTTCCCACGTCCCGCCAGCCGCACCTTGGGCCTGGTGAACAGTTCACAGCACCAATAAAGGAGCAGAGATCAGCTGTGACTCCAGGAATTTTAGGCAAGATGCAGGTTAGGAGAGGAGTGGCTCTTTCAATCTCGTATGACGAGGAACTAGCATTCCTCGCTCAAGAAGAGGGATACCGGGGGCTTCTGAGCCCATCAGAACACATTGCCATGAAGATGTCAGGAATTCAGAGTTCCATCCCTTGCCAGGCAGGATACAAAGCAACGGGATAGTTACTCTAGGCCCTACACTCAGATGCATTCTCAGTGGATAACACATGCTGTTGTACATGTGCAGACTGTTTCCCCAGGAAGGGAACAAACTCTCCATTTATCGAAGGTAGAATAACGAGCACTCCCTCCAGAAAGGCGCAGCCCTGAGGCCGAGGGGACGCCTGCCTTGAGGACAGCCTGGTGACATATCACGGAGAAGGACTGTGAACGCTTCTGGGCAGGGGACGGAAACAAAGAGGGATACCCATGGAACAAAGTGCAATCCCCGCCCCACAGCTGACTTCAACCAAATGTGCCCTGGAAAGTAACTGCCCGGACCAGCAACCGGACCAGAGGCAGGCAGAGATGTGCCAGATTTTAGGCTGGGAACTGGACGCCTTCGCTGCGTATCGTAACGCCCTAACGGCTACACGGAGGAGCCTTGCGGCTCGAAGGCAGAGCAAAGCCGCTGCTCCCCCACCGTACCTTGAACAGGTAGAAGTACACTTGCTTGGTGTCCGTGTCCTCCTCTTTGTGGACCGACATAAAGAGATTTTCCACATCCACCACCATTCCCAGCAGCCGGTTGATCTCCTCTTCCGAGACGTTCTCCAGGTGGGACACGTGGTCAGCTGGACGGGGGAGCAGCGAAGAAGACGGACAGGCTTAGGTGGTGACACCCTGGCATCGCCCAGCGGGTGCATTGCCCGGGAGCCGCGGAGGCAAACACAGCACTAAACGCAGCCCCGGCCCGTTCTGCCAGCCCCACCAGAGCAGAACCCGATGCTCTCCCAGCTCGTGCCCGCCCTGGGTCCCCGCACCAGGGGGAGGCGCTGCCAGGCCTTACCCAGAGCATGTCCGCAGCTCCGGCACAGCTCGCTCAGGTTGGTCACGGGCTGCTGCAGGTCCATGCGGGGGGCCGTGGGCGGGTTGGGGTTCTTCCAGCCGTTGCACTTGCAGGCATCGTTGGCCTAAGCCAGGGACAGGCCAGGCGATGGGTGCGGGGTCGTGGGGCAGCAGGGCCCGTTCCCTTCCCAATTCCCTGCGACACCGGAGGGGTGGAACAGCCAGGGAACCCCGCCCCTTGCAGGCCAAGAACCGCCCCCCCACCCACCCACCCTTGCAGGCCGAGAAACCCCCCTAAGACCTCCCCCCACCCCTCGCAGGCCAAGAACACCCCCCGGATC